TAATTTCCCACCTGCAGGTAAACGAACTGGTGTCTGGCGGTTTGTGTGCGCATGATGCAAAAGCGATTCGCTGTCTATGTGTCCTTATGCGTACAGAAACTTTCTACCATTATGGTCCTTCAGGAAATGTAGTTCTACAATGGCTGCTGCAAACGTCGATGTTGATGATTTTCATAGTGGTGTTGGTAGCTGTCATTGCCTCTAGCGTACATAGCCTTTGAGCTTCGACTGCATCAGATCGAAGAGGCATCAAGGGACTTCTCAACAATTCATAAATTTACTGCGTATCCGAGCTCACTCAGACGAAACTGTAGTGCGACTACTTCACACAGTCATTGTTATTGTGAAGCTTGATGCGGCGATGATGGCTTCGGTCGGCAACTTCGGGTACCAGCTCAAAGCATCAACCGTAAAGGGGGAAGACATCAAAAGAAAATAGAATCGAAGACCTTCGATCAATTGATCAAACTGAGAGAATCGAATTGAAGAAGTACAGACGAATAAGAAGCGGTCAGTGGCTGGCAAGTTGGTGCGGGATAATAATTCAAATGCAGGGTAAACATCCCGATTAGGCAACAGCATAATCAAACAAAACCCGAAACGCTGCTTACAAAAACGTCGTATGTATAGCGCACGCAATACGTGCCTATAAATACTGTGCGTTCGCTCGTAGCACAACTGACCTTTGGTGGCTTTAGGTGAAATCGTACACACGCAGAACACCAAACAATCCAAGAATCAACTAAATGATTGTTATGACTAGCTTAGTACCAAAACAGGGCACATCGCATGCGCCATATAGATTGTACTGAGGTTGATCTACAATATTATAGACGGGTACGACAAACGAATAACTTGTATATCGTATTATATACAAGTGAACGAAGGCCGATGACGTCCAATACTTTTCTTCTTGTTACCTTTATTTTTCGTTCGCTATAGGCTGCCAGACGAAGAGTCTTCAGACCTTTTAGGCTATTTGAAGTAGGACTACGAAGCTACAGGATGAAAAGAAGTGCCACACATCAGATATCTAAGGAGATCTGCCGAATCGTAGCGATGTACATTTGCGTCGAAAAAAAATTGCTGGATAACAAAAAATATCCCAATCTATTTACGTAAGCGTTTTACATCATGAATAACTATCATCTGATGATGTGAGAGGCAGCGGCAAACCCCAGCACGGCAGTCTTGAATCCGTTCGACACACGTAAATGGTGTGACACTGTGTACAGTCTGAATTGAACATGCTGTTCCGTTATGTGTGAATTGTGTGTAACTGTGGATTTCATATTTCGGATGGGATTAAGCGGCAGCTGCTGTATGATATACCGTGTCTATAGAGATTTGAACAGCAGCAACTGCTGGCTGCTGAGCCCTCAGAGCCTCACCGGCACGAATTGAAGGCAGATTAAGCTCTAATTTATCCACAGACTTAAAACAACGGACCCCCTCCTCCTATCATACTGCACTAAGACTTTTATGGCCAACCTTGCAATGTTCTGGTTGTATTTGTACTGTTATTAGAACGCGTTTAAAGCGTCTTCCTGCGGCCCTATCGCGTGTAGCGTGATTGCTATGAGCAAATGAACGCACAATTATGTAGATTGGGTTGTCTAAACTCTATCCGCCCTTCGTGTCTGCATCCGCTTAAAACAGGCGGGACGATAATCATTGTTCTGGTTTTTCTATTTCGTGATTTTGCTCTTAGTGCCAGACAAATCGTTAGCGTTTTTTTTTAATTATTATAGGCTAATAAAGGGAAAACACCGTATTGAGTGGATAAATCATTCTCTTGGACCAGTTCTTAAGTGTGGTTGTTTTCACCAGACTTCAGCAGAGTAGAATTTCTGATAGAAATTAAAATATCTAGCAACGTCGCCTGCTCCGCCCGGCAAGAGTATACGAGGTTATGAGTTCCTCGTTGTTTTTTGTTGTTCATTAGACAACTCTCCTAGGACTTCTATCTCTTTTGCTTCTGTTGTACATTTTCAGTATTAGTTGACTCACAACCGTCACAACTTTGGCTAAATTCACGTTTCACTTATTCTTTAGTTTTCATTTTCTATTTTTTTTTTTTTTTTTTTTGCTGAACCTGTGAATCTATTATTAGTAATATTTGTCGCCGAATTCCAACAACTATACCTGATATTTCTGATTACGGGAAGATATTTTCTATTTTACGACAAACTTGCGTTTATACGGGTTGATTGCCCACAATGTTTTTATATTTAACCTACGAGGCCACTTTTGCACCGCTATCATTTTGATTTCGAATTTTGAATTTTGGCGCGCAAATAGGCAGAGATCTATTAGTTCTGTGCTTATGCCCAAATGAGGCAACGAAATATCCATTTCGCTGTTTTTACTCAGTGGAAAATGCATTCAAGAATCTTTATCCAAAATAATTAAGTCTACGCGGAAATCGTGTGCTCAAATTGTATCGCCGATTCGAATCGCTGTTTCGATCACGATAGAGAAAAGAAAGGCCGAAATATGACCGACCTTTATTGATACTGCCGCCACTTCAGGCTCTCGAAAGATCCGGTAGGAACAAGAAGTTCAAGGGCTCTTGTATTATTGAGTCCACTTGCAGCACTTATCCTGCTTTATTCGACCACTTCGGCACAAAACGAAGACAGCCGAGTGTAGTTCATTTCAACCAAACGGACGATCTAGTGGCCTTGTAAGTGTGTGTGTAGGTTACTCGGCTGTTGACTTTTGATCAGTGGGATTACCGAGTTAAAGTAATAGTAAACGACTTGGACTGCAAAAGCATACCTTCAAGCTTTACGAAGTTAAATGGTTACTGCCGACTGAGGTTGTCTATTTGAAAATTGCAAAAACCCTAGTTAGATTCAGAAGCCTCGTTTCGGTGTTACGGAGGGTTCATACATCGCGTTATATGGACGTTAGTAATCAACGAGGGTGGGCAACTCGTTCAAAGAAAGGTTCAAAGAAAAGGCTTAGGGTCGCGTCTAGACAGGAACTATTACCAATACTGGTACTTCGGATGGTTCTTCAAAGTAATTGCCGAAGAAAAAACCCTTTACTCAACCACCTACTGATTCCAGAGTTCGTCAAGCTGGAAATGAAAACGCGCACTTGAAAATGCTCTGTCCTGCTTGCAGTCAGCCGCCCACATTTGGCTTGGAGGTCTCTTAGTTTCAACTTACGCAACTACGGTGTACTAGTTGACGTCACCTAGCATACTTAAAACCTATTTCCGAGCTAACCTACCTCACGCTACATAGAAGTCGCATACTATCACATATACACAAGCAACAACCGGTTCAACATCTGCTAGAAAGACATTTTCGTCTCCCTCTCCCTCTCTCTCTCTCTCTCTCTCTCTCTCTCTCTCTATTCTTAGTTAGTTATTTTTAGTTACTTAGAAGTTAGTTGCGATCAGTTAGAATGGCCCACTCAAAACGAACTAGTTTGCGATTAAAGTCATTGCCCTGAATCGATAACATGGCTCCTACTTTGCTTTGCTAACACACCACCAAGTCAGTCTGCAGACATCAACGTTTACGTATAGGATAGTGATGGGTTAATAAATATTGGCGTTGGGGATAGTCTGTGTTGGGATTGTGTAAGCATTAAGAAAAAGCGTCAATACAGGTATGCGCCTCTGATTAACAGAGCAGCTGCTATAGAAGAGGGTTGACTGTAAATGAACTGAATGTCGCTTGAAGAAGTGGAAATCATACACAGACAAAGTAAAACGAGGAAAGGATAGGCATCAGGAGACCTGGGACGCAAGAACTGTAGAAGAATTTTCAAGCTCCTTGTCGAAGTCGAAATCTCGTCCCTCGCATTACACCCATCGTCGCAGACCGATCCGGCTTACGAGCTTTGTCGGAGGATTGTGGTAAAGACTCACGAGGAGCGGAGTGAGGGTGGACAGTGAAAACCGTCATTTTGAGTTAATTAGATTACTGCTGGAGTGTATCAGCTGGGATTACTGCGGGGGGTATTAGCCATTGTTCTGCGTGGCTAGGTAACAACGACAACCATAACGATAGCACTTCTGTCGTGCGCATGCGACTTGGAGGTATACATTGGGTAGTAGTTGTCGGCCACTGGTTCAGAGACATATTCGGACATCAAAATCAGTCAAGCAGACTATTATTATGGTTGGGATAAAGCTGGAGTTCATATGCAGCTGTCGATCCTTTGGCGGTACTTCTTAGGCGAGGTGCCTCCTTGTACTCTTCCTCATGATAAGAGAGATGCAGTATTAGCGGAGTGTCGAGGTGGCCCCGCGTACACGTTCGTAATATGATGCGAATTTGAGGTCACTCACTTGCTCTGTTGTTGAACGGATCCTTGACAAAGTACCCAGGCTTGAATAGGCTTAATTTAGTCAGCTGATTTTATGACCCCGCTTATGTGATGAGATATCAATGTAGAACAGGGAAAATCAACGGAATCTAGGGAGGCCGCCGCATCTTTGTATCTCCGCAATTAGGCAAAGTGGATATATGACTTGTTGATGTAGTTCAGTCTATGGGGAAGGGATCACGCGTCTATATATAATCACAGCGGAGTAGCAGTTGGCAACAAATCCGCGCATAAAGTAAATGTGGATGTCCAGAGAAGTAAAAGGCTCGATAGTACACTATAATATTTACAATATATTGCTCATATTGATGAGGAATTATTTTACCTATTCATGTCATGAGTAATTAAAAATAACAATTAACAACAGTATAGTGCGTACATACCGAATTTATCTTACGAAGTGGGTGGTACAGGGCAATTGACATTATATTCTCCCCAGTCATAGAGGTACGTGAAAATCATTTGAGACAAGCAATACTTCACAATTGAGCCTAAACGGCCTGTCTAAGTACAGAATGGCAATATGATAGAGAATGCTGTAATCGAAGCAAGATGGGTCTTGTCATAGTACTATCGTGTTCTGCAAATAGGTATTAAGAAAGTTGTTAACAAATAGCTTTGGTCTATCATTGTTTTTCATTACAATTTTGCAGGAGTTTGGGCTTTCAGCAAGACGTTTTGATGCACAATGGCTACCAATCGGACCAAGGCGAAGCTCCCGGGGGTCCCCTCGGACCCCCGGATTCACGTGATGAATTCTGTAAGGACTTGAGAGGCCTCTCAAAAGGTCAATCGAAACTATGCTTGCTCTACGAGGATCACATGCCGCACGTGGGCCGTGGCGCTCTTATGGGCATCGAGGAGTGCCAATACCAATTTCGAGATATGAAATGGAATTGTTCAACGACCCATGACGACTCGGTGCTTGGACCTGTCCTAAATCAAGGTAACCAAAGTGGCTTGGGTACCTCTCGAACTGAAATTATCGTAACAAATATATTTAGCATTTTCAGTAGATACGTTTACTCTTTTAGCCTGGGTCGGATCTGATTGAGCTACTCGTAGTTAGCGAATGAAGAGTTTACCATATTTAACTTTAAACGACCCCTTTATTTATTCCAAAAGAGAAGTGTGTATTCATTAAGCAAGGAGTGCAGCCATGTTTAGGAATTGTTTGCCCGTCCGGCGTGCATACCTGCTATCGTGTAGTATTGTGTTCCGTGCAAGGGCGTTTGAAACATTGGTACATTTTCTGTGGAGATTGCTTATTGAACTCGAAATTATTAGTATGTTTTGCTTTACAGACTGCGAGCATTGCCTCTTTTGACCAATAATAACAGTGATAAACCTGTTCGTCCGTAAATGAATAACCTTAACGCCACTTAAGAAATCTCTCAGCTTTCCCATAAATTTACCCTCGTCGTAGCATGGCAAATAATAACAAAAATAATAATAGTTCTACGAGGAACCATATATGGTGATGGCTTGCTGCTGACTCCCTATTGAGTCTCAACCCTAATGTTAGTCGCAGCCAAGACTATTCGGCTATTCAATAGGTTTCGAATTGAACCTAGGCCTATTCAGCGGGAGTTAGAAATAGGAAGGATCGAGAACTTGTGATGAAAAGCAACCGAAGCACCACAAGACAAGTCGGCGCAAAAAACAGACCCAGAATGAAATAGTCTAGTTAGACCGCCGGCGGCGATCCCGCGTGAGAATGACATCATTGCATTGTAGACTCAAAGAATGCCCCACCCCCCGCAATGTGAGCTTCTATCTATTTTCGCCGGCATTGGGCCTACAGCGTCTAGGTACTGAGGCTGACTCTTGTTGAAGCGGCATGATCAAGCACTATAAGCCGGACACCATAAAGAGTTTTGGTCTACAAAAACGTCGAGATTCTCCCCCTTATCGATAGTATTACTAGGGCCAACTTATTTCAGTCGCAAAAATAAAAGGCAGTCAGGGACAGCGCGCGAGGTTGAGTGGATTTTTAGATGTTCACATTCTTACATCCGGTATAACACCGTGCTATAGACCTCGACCTCAATCCCGGTACAAGACTTCACTTCGCATGATACCTAGGACTGTCATTGTTAATGGCGTAGCGTTGTGATAGTTACGAGCGTTTTGACTGACAGTATACGCATATTGATTACAGGCATAAATATTGAAGTGTATGCGAGTACCTACGGGCAATAGTGAGAATTGTTAAATGTGTCTTGACAATTCTAGCAGCATATAATATATATGTTACTTTAATACACGAAACAAAATATAAACACAATTGGAAGTATCCAAATATCCCGTTGTCATAAGTTAATGTTTAACATCATAATTCAATTTTATTCTGGTTTGGGACTGCGATAAGTTTAGATATAACTATACCAAAGCCTTCTAAATGGCTAGGTCATTAGATAATGGCTTGACAACCCATACAGCGCCCACCCTGCATAGGTTTGTTAAATGGCCGATATCGACTCAGACTTTGCAAATCATTGCCACCCCGTATCACAGCAGCAGCTAAAGCAGCTACCCTGCCGAAAACTACCCCGAAGCCAAATGGTTGGTACAGTCAACTTTTCCTCCAACCCCCAAATGAAACCCATGCCACCAAAGGGATCCGGCCCGATGAAAGGCTCCGATTGCCACAGATCAAATGGTAGCTTTTTCTATGGGGATGCGTTAACCATGCGGCTCAAGGTTCCCCGTTACCCATAGTTCCAAACCGGCTGGCTTCTGAGCTGCGTTGAGCGGCCAACTGCCTGCTAACTTAAGATTATCATACATACACCATCAACTCCCATCAGTGGGAGAACGGATTGAGTTAGTAGTTGTATTACTACCGGCCAACAGTATGCGGTACGTATCTGCCCAACTGAAATGAGTCAGCCTGCACGCTCCTGGGCGCTGTTAAACCGCAAGCAGATGTTTGTGTAATAGTTCGGTTAGTGCCTTTGCTACAGTTCCCGCCGCTTCTTTCACTTTCTCGAAGAGGACACAGAGGCCAAGCAAGAGCCTTCCCTATGCATACGAGCGTATTTTGGGTACCATTATGTATATACTTATCCTCAATGCGTGCTATTACCTTGAATTAAAATGCCTCTAGCCTGTGACAAGTAGCATGTGTATCTACGGGCATGCTGGGAGTGCGGCCCGACTCGTAACGTCGATGAGTCACTCAGGGGCAAGGGATCGACATCAGGAGTAAATCTCCCCGCCCTCATTTGTAATGCTCGCATGGGTCTACGACCATCGTAACATTCTCTTGGACTATACGAATGGATAATGGAGTTCATCTCAACAGCAGCGGCTGTGTCGCCCTCATGGTCAACAGAAGCACGACCAAAAATCATAGGAAGACTGAAGTTTAAATGTTATGATAAACCAAAAAGAAGTTCATACCAACGCATCATGTGGAAGGGGATCTGGGACGCGTGTAGCAGTCATACTGTGACAAACACATCAACGCTCACAATAGAAAGAGTAATCTTCGAAATTCCAAAATCGAGCTTTCAGCGGTCTCATGAACTGATAGCCTTTGTTGCTGAGTATGCTCCCAGAAAGCCCCTTTTTGTACTGTACGTATAAAAGTCATTGATTTCTTCGGATATCCCTGCGAAAACGCTTGACTAGCGACTTCGTAGTTGTTGGTTTGTTATCGGATAATAACATCGATTTCTAGGAATGCTAGGAAGAAGACCTGGTATAATTCAAAATGATTGTTACGTGCTGTTATTCTATGGGAAGTGAAACCACTATTACTATCAGCAATGACGAACTCAACTGAAATAGCGAAACGGACAATAGCATCAGCAGGAACGGCAACAAGCCGGACGAGCTCCATTTCCGCTAGAACGATCATTCTTTGGGCCTTACATGGCTCTGTTAGGCTGAGGCATCTCCGCCCTGTTCTCCCAAACATTCCATGCATGGGTGACAAACATGTAAGTAGGATGTCATCTACGACGTTCGGCCTGTTCGTCGACTATATTCTATTCAGTTAGGAGCGGCAGGGGGCAACCGGCGAGACAAAATTTCAATTGTTCCTTTCTTTCCATATGTCCCTCACGTTTCCGGGACTCATTTAGTCTGCTTAGAATGACCTGCTGCATATCATTGCTGTGGTTGGGCACTTACGACCGCTGTTGAATGTCCCGTGTCGTAATGCTGCGAGGCCTGTCTGCTCGAAAGCGCTGCTGTTACATTACGCGGTTCAAGGTATACATATGTATATATATATATATATATATATATATGGAGACATCACACAATCGTATTTTTTTTAGAGGCACTGGCGAAAAAGGTAACTGTTTAGCGGTTGTTTACTATGCAGCGGGTTGAGAGGCACTCGTTGATGCCTCTAAGGCAGCGTTAAACGAAGCCGTTGTCAGAGAAGCCAGAACGCCACCAGCTCCACCTTCCGTTTGTATGGGCTTCCCGTGCCATAAAAACGGGACCAAACCAATTCACTGTTCGCAAGTCACTACCGCAGTCTACCGTCGAGGTGAATCTCTCACAGAAGTGAGACTTGAGCGGTTTTACAGAACGCGCCTGTCAGAAGTTGCTCCGGTTCTGTCCCTATATCCATTCAGTCCTGTAATGCTCCGATTGTGTCCATCCCTACCATTCGCCTATGGCAGGCGAACCGCTCAACCAGTTTTGCGGCACTTCCACTTCATTTCTTCAAGGAACTCACCGGGCAAAGCACTTTCTGTGGCCTTTCTCTCGTCGTTTCTGACTTCAAGCATCACTCGCTCACTCGATCCTGCTGTGACTCGCAAGCAGTGAATCCGCTGACCGCACCGATCCGTCTTGCAGGACATCTACTTCTCAACGCCTCGCTTCCGCTGATACGGGAAGACCATTGCTCACTCTCCTTAGATGCCTCTTATACTACGCGGAAGCCACAGACGAGGATGCCTCCGAGGGGGTTGAGGGTAAGGACGAGTTTTCCTGAGTCACTGTGAGGCGTGGAGAGAGGGGGTGGCTGAAAGCTGGAGGAACTCCAATCTCTTTGGGACGGCTAGTGGCTACGAGCACTAGTAGTATTACAAGTAGGTTCCTTCATCTTCTATGTGAGGCGGTTGAAACTGGGTTCGCAGAGCACTAGTGAGCCGACAAGATGAACAGAGCCACGGAGAAGTCGAAGCCTGGAGCCTCAAGAAGCTGACCTCACGATCTAACTCGCTGCTGTGCAGTACGGATGATACGAATGTGGTGGAGTATGCTCGACTTCATGGAAAGTATGCTGATCTGACATTTACCTGCGTGCCTCGCTACTGAGTAAGGGATTATCATTATCGAAAGATTGGATTGAGATTTCTCCTGATCGTTAACCTTATAATACATCCGGTTGAAGCAGAATTAAATGGAAGTGATCGGATTTCCTTTTGGGGTGTTTTTGCCTTGCGATACATATTGGTAGACTGATAAGATTCGCTTGCACACAATATTTTACAAGTTACTTGCCGTAAGAGGACGATCAGCTAGCATAACTTAAGTGATTTTTCAGAAACTTTTAGTCCACACGCTCGGGCATTTTTACCGAAATAAAGAACTCTGAAAAACAAATGAGATTGAAATATTTACGTATAGACGGTTGAGCAAACCAGATTGCAATTGTGATTTTCCATTACGACTAAAAGTGATTTACCAACCAATCTATCTTTGTTACGGTTTCAGGGAGCAAAGAAACAGCATTTGCTCACGCAATTGCAGCTGCTGGCGTCGTTCATACAGTAGCTCGCGCTTGTAGAGATGGCAATCTACGAAGCTGTGGCTGCTCGAACGAGGAGCGACCAAACAACCTCCACAAAGAGTGGATATGGGGAGGCTGCGGTGATAATATCGCCTACGGATATAGGTAAAGTTCTGATTCTTCCAAATTATTTGAAGATACGAAAAGTGATTTGGATTTTTTTCATCCATAAATATCAGATAAATGGAAATGCCCAGAATATATCGTTTGAGCTCCATTGCCACCGTATGCGTCTTTCATTAAATAGTTAATTAAAGTTTCAATGTTTGGTTCTAATATCAATGTTGGTAATAGGTTCACTGAGGGATTCGTGGATCTACCTGAGCGCGAGCAAAAATATGGCAAGAATACGCCTCAGCAGGGGAAGAAGTTAATGAACCTCCATAATAATGAAGTTGGTCGACGGGTAAGTAGATAGTATCAAGGTGCAAAAATCCAACGAATTAGAAATATCTGCAATTTAGATATTGGCATATAGAAGGCTTTTCGATTAAACTCTAATTAACTCCCTACAGTAATTTCACAGCTCTTGATCTGAGGGGCCGCGCTTGAATGGTCGTCAATGAGACGCAAACGAGATAATCAATTGCCCATAAATTTAAAACGTTTAGTTTTTGCATTTGTCTTTATAGCGTTGAGGTTCACATAGAATACAATTAACGTTACTGCTGCAAACCCAAATGTCATCGGACAATGCAGTGTCGATGTATTATGACAATTACTAGATGGATATTACTTGTACCGATGATAATAGGAAAAAATCACAGAAAGCCCATCCGTACCGAATAATCATAACTGATGCTATTAGACATTATTGATGTACATTGCGAATGTGAGAAATCTAGCATTTAATCATAACTTACATAGCGCAGCATGTGTGATCAAGTAGAAACAGTTTTTAACGACGTTTTTAGTCGAATTCGGTATTCAGCTTCATGAAGAGCGACCATATTGCAATACACCATCGTTTGTCGTTCGCTTTCTCTTCCGAAGACCATACAGTTTATAGAGGCCACGAGTCACCCTGGCGTCCTTTGCAATCTCAGACGCGATGGCGCCTTTTCGGGCGATCAAATACCACCCAACCCGTTAGAATATTACAGCTTTCCTTTCGTCCCGTACAGAACTGCGGCACTTTCTCTGTGCTTCAGTTTATGATGCTACGTCAGCAACACTCAGTGATCCTATCTACATCTCCTTGTCAGCCATCAACGTGTTCGATGTATCCTACTAGCAAGGACATTCGCACAACCTGCTGCTACGTGCGTCTTAACAATCAACCAGTCATCACCATAGTCCGTGCCGTTAGATTAAGAGGGAGCGGGGAAGCGGCAGTGAAGTCTAATAAAGACGGATCATGTGCTGCGAAAACAAAAAGTTGGTCACACCGCAGTCGACTGCACCGGAGCCATGCTGTGCTGCAATGTTAATCGACACTATCCGGAGTGAGCGGAAAAGGAAAGAAACAAACTATTATAAGTGCTAAATGACCGAGATCACAAAGGGCCGAGATTATTCACCAGGGACGGAGATCAGAGGCGGACAACGTGAGGGTAGAGCAGGCTTCCAATCCATGCCGATCCTCTGATTTAGGACCATCAAGATAGGGATCTGAAGAACAGACGGACCGCGCCAGGCACTAAGCCAGCGGCTATCAGTAACGACAGGAGAGGTGGCAGTTTCGTATTAATGCTGCGAGTAGTGGAAACATCGGACAAGTCAGCATTGGCCTTCGAAGCATCTGCTGAAGATGTTGCGTCTCTGTCCGCTCTCTCTCTTTCCCCTTTTTCGATAGTTATCCCGCTGGGCTGCTCTGATAAGGGTAAAGCTTGGGAAACGGTCCTGTTGATGCAGGGCCGCCTCCCAAGCTTTCGTCGTTAGCCTTTACCAGCCACTTGACGCCTATTGACAGGAAGTCTCGTTGTTGCAGAGGTTCTGGTGACACTATCATGTGGATGAAAGGAATGCGTTCGATAGATGCGGGCGGTCACTGTGAGCCGAACGGTTACTCGGTTGTTCGGCCCTATCCTTCACGAGACCAGACGACATTTGTTCACTCGTTAGAGGAAGGGATCGGATTCCCCGCCAGACCTGTCTCGATACAGGGTGACTTATGGATAGCCCATAGGTTGAAGATAGCCGTTGTAAAAGCTCGGTAGGATAAACGCGAGTAGAAGCAGAGCAACTGCAGGGAGCCAAATCAAGTATCAATCAAGGATCGATCATGCCCTAACCAGAAAGCTGCGATCCCATTAGACAACTAAGTTACATTGGGAATGCCTCTGGCTAACACGCTGAAGCAGAGATCAATTCGAGCAGATCACAAATGGTTAACAGTAGGTTTGTATGCCCCGACTGAATTGCTTACCATTTCAAGAAGCAGGTCCTGTGTATAAATAGATTTATCGATCGATCGCCGAACCGAGACGGTCTGTGTGTTTGAACCGACTCATGTCCTGATTAATATACTACACAGCGGCGTGTATATTTACTCTTCTTCATCCTCAAGATATTTGTGGAGTATTTGCTTACTTTATATTCTCAGTCGTTAGCCTATCTGGATTGGAGCCGCTTTTGATTGTTTTTTGCATGAGAGTAGGGTGGGACAAATATGTTAGTAATGACTAAGGTGAGTACGGAATGTAGCAAACAAACAGAATCTGGGGGCAACCAACGAAAACAAACGTATCGGTGATATTTGTCGGTAAAGAATCGTTACATAACATGACGTAGCCATAATTGAGACTATAATTTCTAAACCGTGAATTAGGGCTATGTGTAAAATACTACTATTTTTTCATCTATTCGGCTCCTGCAGCATCCATGGATCTGAGAGCAGGCAATCAATTATAGACTTGGAAAGTTTTCATAATATTTATATGATAATCTTCGATGTAAAGTCTTGTAAATCATAGCCTAGATTGAAACTAGAATATATAACAAAAAACATCAAACTGAAAAATGCGTAGATAAACGATTTGTGTATAGAGAAAAGATAAAAAATGATTTTTTTTTTTACCCAAACCTTTGGATTGAATCTAGCGGAGTGCAGTAGTTTCTCTAAATTTCGAAAGGACGCACGTTCTTCATGCATTTAGGTAAGATGGAACTCGCTGGAAAACTCTTTTCCGCTTTAATTTTCGAAACGATTTCAAGTAAACTGTCTTGAGCAAATATGTTTTTGTTAACTCTTCTTTACTGTACATTACAATGTATTGTGACTTGCCGTGCCAGATCATGTAAGCGGTCTGCGACACTAAATTGAGGTAAAAAACAACCCTTTGGTTGCTTTTCGAAGTCGAAGGGCTAACGAATTACTTTGAGATGCGTAGGCGTAAATGACGACTCAGACTGCACGACTGTTCAACGGATCTATCGAAGGCACTGAACAACGTTAGCGTCAATGAACGATCAGAAACGAGTTCGTTAATTTCCAGGTAGAGATATTCGCTCGCGTTTGGCCATTGTACACTTATATCAGTAGACCACGTCCAGTATAGCGTGTAGTCTTAGCCGTATAGCTGACCGAGAAGCTTCCGATCCAGCGTCTTTAAGTATCTTTCACCTGATGGCAACATGCAGAATGTGCACAAAATATCTAGGTGTCTTTTCCTCCACATCAATCTGTCTAGCAATAATAACAATCTACTATTAGATTAATCGTAATAGGAATAGTCACGTATTAACGCGCAGACAATGAGAGCGTTTTATAGAAGTAATCACCTTCTAAAACTGCAGCGTCTAACCTAAACTACACGTCAGGGTTTTCGTATACTGCCCCCTAGTACAGCAGTTATGATACGACTGTAACTCTACTTGGGCCTTGATTGCTAAACTCTGGTCGTTTCGTAGGTTTAGAAAGGAGTAAAGAAGAGTATTAATACGAACATAGTCAAATCGAGTTAGGAAGCCAATGGCCCAGACACCTACAACTGTCGACGACATCTATCTGCTCTGGTATTGCATGGGTCTGCGTCGCATAACCACCGCTGACTAGAAACCGGCTTATAGCAAAATGAAGACCATCAAAATATCAGTGGCGTGAATACCTTTATTATCATTGTGACGCCATCAGTAGCAATTATTAATGTAACAATATTTGACTGTTTAACAATGTAAACTATGTACATGTAGCAGCTAGTCACATGCAGTACGCGCGAAATAAGCAAATTTTCTAGCTCTATAATTGCAATCTGTAGTGCAGTGGGTTGTGTTCTAAAATGAATAAGTTTTCCGTCAACGAGGTTACTCATTAACGAGAGAAATTCGCAAATTTATTTCAGTGTGAGGTTTGAGTCTTCGATTGCATTGCAGTGCACACCTCGCTCACACGTAACAGTGAAGGGCAGTGCGGAACGTGACACATCTAAGCAACGATCTCCAAGTCGAGATCCCACACAGGTGTTTGGAATTTATTTCGAAAATTGTTATCTTCTATTTGTTAATGTAAGTCTGTGTGCTATCCCAATGTGTATCTGTACAGGGTCTCTTTTTGTTTTCCTTACAATTGAGTTCCTGCTTGCACTTAGCCCACTCAATGTATAGAGCGATATAGCAGGAGAATGGATGAAAAAAATCCGCTGTCTTTCGTCATCGCGCCCGATATGATCATGGGTAGGAACAAAGAAGAACGAAAATTCTCGCTTGTATCTTCCTTAATCGTCTATTGTGACCTCACCATAGTTCTCGCTGCGTTCCTGTCCAGTCTCCTACTATGGCTATCTTGCCGCTGTTTGGCCGCCACTTATAGGCTCGAGCATAGTATACCGGGATATGGTTTGGAGCGGCACCAAAACGTTCGAATGGCGATGATGTTCTGCTTTTCGAGACGAACCGCCTAAAAAGGGAGATTCGAGCGAGTAAAAAAGATCGTTCGCCAGGGGAAATATTTGCAGTTTGTGCCTTCATGAGTTCTACTTTTGCCTATCTACTCATACGTGCGCACACACGCACAAAGATGTAGACAGCCAGTCTTCGTATTTCCGACATTCACGGCAGCGGACGCACGTTCCCTTTTTTCACCTTTCTTCTCCAATCCTCTCCTTGTAGGGCCCCCATGATCGACCGGCAAAAGTCATCGGGCCATTTTAATCCCCCAGCCTGCGATCATCTGGGGGTCTCCTCTCTTTTTCTGATAACGACGCTATAGGTATTGAGGCGCAAAGAGCCGAAGTGACCGGACGTAGTGCGCGTGTCCATCCTGCAGATACGCGTATATATCAGCTTTTTCCGTGGGCTTCATATTGGTAGAAAAGTCGCGATGACCGTTTTGTAGAACGTAGCGTTGCTTGTCAGTGTCAGCTAACTAGCATGGCTGGTACGATGGACCGCTGCTCAGGGCAAGACTGATTTCGATCCTATCCCATTCCATAACGTCTCGTGTTGTTGCCTATGGGAGGTGAATGG